AAACATCCTCTTTTTCTTATAATATGCAGAACTCCTTCAGACACAAACCTGCAGCTTGAGGTGTTTATGATGAGTGAAGACAGTAGAGGGAGTCGTAGAAAGCAGAATTTAGGACGTTAGTCCAATTCTGTCCTCCGGTGGAAAAAACATCCTTTGGCTGTTTTTGAATTGGCACAGTGAGCAGCGCGCAACTCTATTGTGTTTAAAGGCACAACACATTGGCGTCATCTAAAATCCTGTAAGCAAAAGCATATTTTAAACACAAACACTGCGATGATAATGATTTCTTGCTGTTTTACTGTATTACTTAATTCATAAGGAAGCTCATTTTGTAACAAAACTAGGAGAAGAAAAAATGACATTCCACACATTGCCAGTTTATTGCCTTGTCCCATGCATTCTGCTTATTAATATGTTCATACTAATTATTAGAAACCATCAGAAGCCACTGCATACAAGACAATGTAGGGGTTTCCGTCACACCGCTAAGAGTTTTGTTGCAGCAGTCAAAAAGCAAGAGTCATTATTCAATAGTGGGTGTTATATGATGTATGTTTGTAAGACACTTGTCTCCAGAACCGTGCAATGTAAAGGAGAAGTCTGCATCACGGAGATGGACGATGGCATACGTGTCGTGATAGGTGACGTTGCACTCTCAGGCAATGCAACGGAAGATGTTCCCCTCCACAGCTAGCTGCATGTGAAGAACCATCCTTCTGTCTTTGACTTCTCCAGTCAAACGGTACCTGCAACCACTCCTTTGTTCTACCCATATTACCATTTGTATGGTTTTGCTTGCAGCCAATCACCACAAGCGTTCTTTGATCGGCCCACTACAGTCGCTACATCCCACAGTTGGGATTGCCATCCTAAGAGCTGCTAACAACGGGAACAACGCTGGTGTTACGCTTCGGTGCCGACATGGTCCTTTTACCAAGGGTCATGTTGAACAGCTTATAATGAATAATTGTGTGGATAACCAAGTCTATTAAAGCCAGAAGTAAGTCCACAAAGTGACTGTTGTCATATTATTAATGAGTAAAAAGCATTTAATTAGCAGTCTTTTAGGTTATTTCTCTCAGACCGGGCTGTTTTTAGCGCCTGCCTCTGAATTCCTGTATTTAAACACCTGTGAGTCTCTCAGCGGTGAATGACATTGAGAGCGGCGGAAAGCTGAAACACTCCCCATCAATAAATAATGAAATGTACTAATTGTGGCTCCTGTCATTTAAGAGTGCGAGACTTTATCTGAAGCGGATCCCAATGCTTTATCCTACTTCAACAAAAGGTCAAACAGTTCTAATGATGCTCTCCTTTGAGGGAGTCGAGCTCGATCACACGCAGTGCAGGAACTCTTTCTAGAATACGAAAATGAAGGTCAGTTTTCTGGGCCGCTGTATTTCCCACAGTGACCATCCCGCCTGGGGAAGAGGAGATGGTGGGTGCAGCGCAACACGACCGCTGCGCGGTTACGCAAGACCAGAGAAAGTGCAACAACAGCATTGAACCCCTGGCTCGGAGGAGGGAAAGTGCCAACAGTACACAAAACACCTGGGAGACAGAGAGAGGGAACAAGAGGAGAAGGGGAGGGGGGGGTAATTCAATCACATCAGTGTCCTCATTCACAGGACAGAGAGACAGAGAGACAGAGTTATGAACAACTAATGAAATAAGCAAAAGCTGAGTAAGATATTTGTCCCTGTCTCACTCTCGGTTAAACAACAAGAGAGGTGAGACAAGGGGAGGGATGAAGGTGTGTGGGCAGAGAGACCAGCAACAAAGCCGGACGGGCGAACACAGTTTCTCTGCTACAGTAACTCCTCCACTCCTTTAAGGTCAAAAGCTCATGCATATTAAAAAACGAGAGAAACCTCCCATCCACTCTCATCCCTCTGAGCTGAGGAGCGCACGCATGCTCACACACATACACACCATCAGGCCTTGAACACACAGCTCTCCAAGCCCCATCATCCACACTTCCATGATCATCCCCCCCCCCCTAAAAACCCAGACAGACGTCAACCCATATCTCCAGAAAAGAACAGTGGTTCAACCGTTCAACCTACAAACTGTATGATACGATTATGGTTGGAGACAGAGGCTGTGGCAAATAATCCGCTTTGTTTAAGGTTAGGCAGCTAATCCGCTTAAGGTCAATGTTAAAGAGTAACGACACACTTGAATATGTTTTTTAAGTCCTAAACTAAATGATATGACTGCACTTTGATGAAACACATCAATGATGGTTTGAAAATGGCTCAAAACGCCATCTACTGTTTTTAAATCAGCAGAGTCACATACAAAGGAGATTACCAATAAGAGAGAGAGAGAGAGAGAGACTTTTGTTGTCTCTCATTCATACTTGCGACTTGTGTCCTCTCACTGGACCTCTCACTGAACCGGTTCAACATCTTCACCCGAACATCTGGCCAGAGACTTTGAACACAGTGGATATGAATCCGACAGCGTGCATGGAAATTGTAATCCCACTCTGACGACCCTCCATCTCATTCTGCATTTATTATGTCCAACCCTGCTGCGATTCCTTCCCCTCTCCTTCATTTATACGACAGTGTATAATATCTTTGCAACAGCATTCATCTATAAATTATTCCTTTTAATCGGAATACAGAAGTTTATAGTGGCGGCAGCCTCCAACCTCGTGTTCACAATCTTTCCAATCACCACATAATCATCGGCGCACTCTTTGAAGAGCTGGCTGTGATGTTCCCATCACGTTGTAGTATAGTAGGTGCAGCTGAAAGGAAGCCGGATGAGAAGTGAATTTGGAGAGGAGAGAGAGCGCACCCTCGCCACATCAACAGAATACGTGTTGCCTAAATAACTAAGGGCTAATGAGACGTGATCATCCCACGCCACAGCGGCTGATTAAGAAGCTGACCATGCATGAAACCTCTCTGCTTCACTTTCCTCGTCCACAATCCATCATGGCAGACATTGTCTCTGGAAATTGTTTCTGCTCAGGGCGCCTGCGTGCTCCCTGTAGGAATGTGTCGTTTTTGATTGTTCCTGTTGGGGCAGCGCTGGTTACGCAGGCCGGCTGTCCCTTCAATGAGCAACCAAACTTAGTCCGACGAGACCACCGACTGTGAGTCATCTCCAACCTTTGGACATAATAAAAAATAAAAACTTCAAGTTCTGTGAGGTGTGACGATGTATATGGCTGATGTCTGGCTCAGATGGCCAAGTGTGTGTGTGTGTGTGTGTGTGTGTGTGTGTGTGAAAGGTCTGGTACTCGGCTCATCGCGTCAACGCGAATATCCACAGGTTGTGCAATGTCTGACTCAGATCTGAGGCCTCTGGTGTGTGTGTGAGTGTGCGATTCCAGATGCAAGGTTGAGAGGTTGCCCTACAAAAGTAAAAGAGCATTAAATGTGTTTGCATCCTTATTCAAATTGTGGTCGGAATTTTGAACAAAAAAAGATTTACAATAAGATTTTATGCTTGGCTGAGGTGGAAAATTTGGTGAGGGATAAGAAATGAATGTGACAGAGTGCAATAGAAACAGACTTAGTGAATAAATCATATCGCACATGAAGCATAGACACAACTTCCTCTCACCTGAAGAGATGAAAAAATACAGATAAAAACATCAGATGTGTGTGAAGCGATGAGGAGACTAATTTGCGTCAAAGGACTACTGCATGAAATGGACATTATTTTTTTATTTTTCAAAAAAGTAATTATTATCATCAAATTTTCATTCAAAATTAAACATTAGAATTATCATGCCTATCATGTCATCTATTTTTTGTTTTCTTATGTTTGTTATATATCACATGTCACCTTGAGTTCCTCTTCTTTTCTTGGGTATTTCTTCATTGTTGTAACACCTCACTCACTGCTGTTTTGTTTTTGCACCATGCAACAGTTAATACAATAATAGTATTTTGTTTTTCAAATGCCATATTTCCACCACTTTTCCTCATTGATGTTTTTGGGAGAATTGGGTAACACGTTCAAAGATGGCGTCACAGTATTTCCTTTGAAAGTTGTTCACTGGGCCACATTTTGGCCGACCCGGCTGACTTCCTGTGAGCTCCCAGCACACATTATTAACAGGACAAAGAATGAAATCATGCGTCTCTTCTTGAATTTTAAAATATTGGATTGAATTAATCAAATTCTAGTAGTTCAGCCCCTGTCTTTCTAAAGATTGTGAATGGGGAAAAAGCAAGAAGTAATACCACGTGTGTGCATTATACACCAAATTGTTTGGAAGCTGAGATTTCCACATTTATTGATTTAACTGGGGCTTTGAAATAAACTCATCTTGTTGTAACCCTCTCCTTCTGCAATGGTTTCATGGCACCAGAGAATTAGCTCAATCAACTGTTTGGTCTCATGGTAGTGGATGGAAACATACAATGACTTGCATTGTCATTTGCCCAATTTCTGGAAATTCTAGTAAAATCTTTACCACAGTTGGATGGACACTTGGCTGAAGCGTATTTATTTATTTTTTATGTCTTATATTATTCCATTTCTGTGACATTTTGTAAGGGTACACACTGATGGAGATACATAGACTCCTAGTGCTATAATAACATGAGATGCTTTATCCGATCCAAAATGATATTATAGTGAAAAAATGAGGCAATAGTGTACAATAAGCACAGTTTTGGCTCCACTGGGTCAATATAGGAACATTACAATCTAATGTCATAGTGCATTGCTTGTTTGTGGCCTTTGTGCAATCTTCATCTCCATCACAAAGAACAGAAATGTGACGCAGAAGATTATATTAGTATACACTCAGCACGGTGCGCCATCATTCTATGTTGTGACACACACATCTATCTGTTTTTAGCGGGAGAGAGCGAGAGAGAGAGAGAGAGAGAGAGAGAGAGATAGAGAGATAGAGGGGAGGGAAGTAGGAGGAGGGCTGTGCGCAACGTCGGTGCCAATAGGCGCAGCGCTGTCTAATTAAAACCCTACCACGTAATCCCGACGAAAGCTCCCCCCCTCCCTCCCGGTTTAAATCCACTCCACCAGCGCTCACCACCTGAACACACCGCCCGCCGCTGCTATCCCGTCCCGACCCCTGGAGGAGAGGAAAACGCCAGCAGCAGCAGCAGCAGCTCCGCACCGCAGCACCACCACTGCTGCCTCTCGCCTGCACGGTAACATGGTTTGCAGGGCTCGGCTGCTGTAGCCAAGGGGCCACTTAGTCTGTCACTCAGTCCGCGTGGATGTGCGCGAGTGTGCGGTAACAAGCAGCAGTAGTAAAGCAGACGGAGATCCCGCGCCGCTGTGCATCAGGAGCACCGGAGGAAAAGGCGTCCGGAGCCGAGCCGAGCCGAGCATCCCTGCACCGCTGCCCGCCCGTCCTGCACACCGGCCCCGCTGAACCGGAGCAGGGACACCCTCCTCCCCGCAACAGACACAACCTCGGCTTTACCGGGTAAGGAAGAGGGGCGACATATACACCGCAGATGTTTAGCCCTCTCTTAAAGATGTAATGTCTTCTGTAACGCCATCGCTCGTGTCGTGAATTCGGCTCGTGGGAAAGCGACACAGGCGCTTTTGTTCGGTTATTTCGGCTGTTTGTGGCGACAAGAACCCGCCGAGTATAAAGCATAGCCGATGTGACCTGAACACATTCCCGTATACCCTGCAGCTTGTCTGATTGCAATGAGACAGATGTTGTTGTTGCTTTTCTTCCCTTTGTGCGTCCCACTCAGGTTGATCATCTTCTTTTATCGATTTAATCACACAAAAAACAATGAAAGGACTAAAAAACCTATTTTGCACAAGCCAATAGGATGAGCGCGTTATCGGCCATGCGATTGTTTATGAATGATGTGAACACGAGGCAAGCATGGATGCGCATGGTGCTGCTCTGGATCCTCCAGCTCTCCTCTGTGTGTCACAGTCATGAGGTGCATTCATCTCCCTGAGATGCACCCTCTTATTTGCTTCCTTATTCCACCCAAAGTCACAGTTATAAGCTATAATATTGCCTTTGAGACCGCAGAGTATGTGTGTAGTGAATTACACTCACTATGTCGCAGTATTTTCTCATATAGCAACATAGAGCGATATTCCAAACAGGCAGCTGCAGTGAGTTTATATATATATTTGTTTCTATAAAACATCTTCTCATATTTCACAGTAGCTGCTAATGCTATCTCTGCTGATTCCTTCGCTATAGAAGAGTAGGATTACTATAATATGAGCTGAGTGAAATGTTACGTTCTCTGTTGCTATAATGCAGCTTGTGCTCTGCTCCATTAGCCCACATCCTATTATAGCTGCAATCTCTGCATCTCATGCATCTCGTAAGACATGATTTGGAAATTTATCTACGCTGGAAATCTCTTGTTATTGACAGTGTTGTGTAGTCAAAATTAATACAATACGAGGCAGCCGGGGTGTCTATACCATGACATCTTCAATAAGCATCTGTCACCAGGTGTTTGGGACCTCTTCTCTCCTTTTTCCTGAGAGAACAAGCCTGTTTATGGCCTGATTCAGGCCCTGTTTTGCTACACTGATGTGAAGCATTCGCCTCTTTTCTTTCCCTATATGTCACCCAGCTGCTTCAGCTTTAACTGGTTCCTGTCTTGTGCAGAGAGCCAGCTGACCCGACCCTTGCAGGACTATTCAGAGGAGTCACATGCGTGGCAGTCTTAGGGTCGAAAAGGCACCACGGTCGCTCAGCGGTTGTCATTTTAGGGTGGCTAATGATGGAAAGAATGATGAGAGGTCCGGACGATGTGGCGGCCATGAGGTGTGACCCCGGGGTTAATGGGAATGTGGTGCACGGGCGACGGTGCGGCCCCTAACAAATTGAATCATATTTAGGGATCCTGTCCGAAGGAAGCCTGCTCGACTCAATTTGCTCCAGTTGCTGCTGACGTTTTTGGTTGGGAGGAGGCAGAGTTTAGCCTCCCTGTGCTAATGCTAGTTGTTACATAAGAAGATAAATGTGTGCTGGAGCGCTACTCTCTCTCTCGCCTGCACACACACACACACACACACACACACACACACAATCATAACTTTTAACTCTGAGGCGTTAAGCTCCAAGCAAAGGTGTGTTTTATTGATATTAGTCGTTTTTATTTCCATCTCTTACTCTCTCCAGTGGCTCTGCTGACATGCACTTCTTTTCATAGGCTTTCACAGTATCAGTCTAGTGTTTCTCATATAGGTGACCTTGCTCTTATAGGACGCCGCCAGAAATTCTTGACGAGATGCCCCTGACCACATGTCTGCATGGAATTCATAAGTACACGGCCTGAAAGTCACTTTGAATTCAGGTTTCTGTCCTGCCACGTGAGCACAGGTCACTGCTGGATCATGGGGTGGAAGCACAAAGGCTCAGCCTCTTGGAGCTCGCCCTCCGTCTAACAGAGAGACAAGTAAAACCTCTGAATGCTCCCGATGCTCGGAGACCTCGGTGGAGCCGGAGAGGCCTCCAGGGGTTGGGTCGGGGTTAAAGCAGCACTTTCAATGTTGCATTTACCAGAGATGTGCTCATAAGAGTCTCTGAACACTAAGCAAGAAAGAAAAGCATAAAAAACAACTAAAGAAATCTTAGTCAACTAAATACAAAACGACCGATTAGCAAACTAATCGACTGTCATAATCAAAGAGGCAGCCCGAGTTGTGCCAAATATGACGGTGGTGGAAGCAGCATGATGACAACAGAGACTGTGGTTCCTGTCCCGTCTTACCAACATTCAACTTTGTGTTTGTTGTTTTTAAGCCAGAAGACTTTCAAGTGTTACGTACATAATAAAAAAATAAGTTTAATTGGAAAATATTCTCATTTATTTATTTGTATTTACATTTAAAAACTGATCTTTATACCTGGACTGTATGGGTTTGGTTGGATAAGATTTTTGGTTGTGACATCACCGTGTTACTAATGAGCCCCACCGACTTCAAACTAGTGAGAAAGTATCAGAAGCCTTTGTTCACCTCACAGCTCAGTTTCTGGAATAACACAAAAAGAAAAATCCCTTTGCCTTTTTGTCGAGGGAACCAGTGCCAGTCTAACTTCCAGAGTTGTCCTACAAAAACACGTCATCCCTGCAGCACTCTATTTCTCAAGCCAGAGGCAAAATAGTCCTGATGACATCACTATGGCGTCATCAGGGTTGTTTCTCTGACTCATCAAAGCTCCTCTAGAGTCACAGAAGGCATCATACAGCTGTTTTCACTGGCTGAGGAGCACTCTTCATGCTCCTTTAATGGACTACAGCACCCATAATTCATGTGCCTTGGACATAGTGGCATATTACATCTTTCTCAGGGAACAAGAGATAATCAGATCCATTTTGAAAGGAATAACCAAGCTTTGTAAGCCCTCTCGCTACGTTTTCATATACACAGGGGAGTGGGGATGTGGCCTGCGTGGGTCGACATGAGGTCTGCCCCACAATCTGCCCTGGGAGAGGCGTCTCCTGCCCGTCACATCCAGTCTGATAAAGCCTGCGATGAGAGAGAGAGAGAGAGAGAGAGAGAGAGAGAGAGAGAGAGAGAGAGACTGCTCTGCTGGAAATCCCCCGTTGTAGGGAGGTCTAGCTGCACTGTCGCCAGTGAATCTGATCAAAGGACACTGGGCTGGAGTAATGTGAAGAAACTGGCGAGTGAATCCTCCTTTTGTCTTCCAACAAAAGCATAAAAAAACAAATGCAACAGGAAAGAGCAGCGGGTTGAAACAATTTAGTTGCTAACAAGAAAATAAGTTTTGAGTGGAGATTTTGTACAAACAGTAATTCTGCTACTTCACCTCCTGTTCTCTCCTCTCCTCGAGCCATTAGGAGGCTGAGAGGGCAGCCAATTACTCCCCGAGCTCGGCATGTGGTTTAGCTAATGAAGTCAGCGGGCAGAAAAAGTGTCTGAACCAGTGTGTGTGTGTGTGTGTGTCCTTTAGCATAAAAGGGTCAACGGCTCTCCGCTGATAAGGCGTGGTGGAGAACACACACTCCACCGATACCTCTGTCGAGATCGTATCTCAAAGCAGCCTCTTCCTCTCTCTGTGCCTCTGGATACATCCACACTAATACGTTTCTGTTTTAAAATGAAAACGATCTCCGTTCACACGGGCGCCGTCGAAATGATTTCCATCCATACTTACACGACTGCATGCGAATATCACATGACTATTCACGTGCACTGGGCATGCGGGTGCCGGTGTACTTTAATAATAAAAAGATTGGGGTTGATACTTAAGATCCTTCTCTATAATCTTCCTCTTTAGACTCACACAGACAAAGTTGTATTTTTAAAACTTACTTACGTCTCTCTCTCAAACACATCACATTTTCTTTAAAATAAACACTTACAAATCAAAGTTTACTAGTTTATGGGTCAATAAATTTGGTCAACACACTTCTTTCACTTGGTTTCGTTGTTGTCTGTTCTCACTCGTAGCTCTGCCGGTGGCTGAAGTCTCTGTCGCACTCGAGAGCATTTGTGCATTTGTTCCTTTACAGTTTCTTTGTTAACTTCACAATAGTCGGGCAGAACAATAAGCATTAATAAGAAAAGGAAAGTCCTCTGTTTAGTGTCAATCGTCCTCCTCAAAGCCGCAAACCGGTACTTCAGACGTCCGCTGATAACGCCGCTGGACACGCCACTCGCTAATCGCTAACAGCTAACAGCTGCTTCCTCCACATGTCGGCAGTAGTAGAATTATGAAATGCAGAATTTAACTGCACAACAGCTGCAAGGCCGGTAAAGCCTGTAATCTGTTATCCGGGTTGAAAAAGAATCAGTGGTCGACCTGGCTGTGATAGGGGCGTGACAAATCAGGGCAGGACACGTCGTGAGTGCGAAGACCCGATCAAGTAGCGAACGTCCAAGTCATCGTTTCCAAAGTTATGCGGCTCGGCCTGTCCACACGACGAGGTAACCCCGGAGTTTCCACACTTATCTGGCCTCCGGAGCATTTTTAAACCTCCAGATTAGTGTGGACGCTCAGTGTAAACATAGCAAAATATATGCATTTTAAAAAGGAATTGTAGTAGGGTGGATGTAGCCTCTGTCTATCCTCTTCTTCCACCTATCATTTCTCTCCCAGACTGGAGGATTATTTCTCTCAATTAGATCTCATCCTGTCCCTCATCAAGTTTCCTCTCATCTTCTTTCAGTACATTTTTTTTGTTCTCTGTCCAATTCAAAAGGCTAAAGTCTAAAGGGAGTAAGAGTTGAATTAGTCGCTTTAGACTAAGAAGCTGTACAATCCAAGCCAAGCTGGTGTTTTCCCTGATGGATATCTGCACTCCACTGATGGCACCTTTACTAGTTTGTCATGTTCCGTGAGTTTGTTTGATACTTCCTTTATGCACAAGGGAGATTCGCTCGTCTTGTTGTCCATTGTCATCATGGAGATTTTCTTGTGATATCTGTCTTTTTAATGTCCCTGTTTGACCTGCAAGAGTACGTACG